GGTTGCAGTGTTGTACGTCTTGCAATTTTCGTCCATATGGTAGACTTATGGTAACGGTAACCATAAACCGTTACCAACGAACCGTCGCATCGATTTAGAGAACTTCTCTTGATTCATTTCCCAACGAACAGTCGCATCGATTTCGAGAGCTTCTCTTGACTCGAGTTTTCTTGTGAGTTCTCTAAATCGAGACGATTCGAGTTCTTGTGAGTTCTCTATAAATACCACAACCGAGACGATTCATTTCCCATCCCGATTTTCCTATGGCGAATCTCGAGTCGCTTCCTTCTGATCTTTTGTACGAGATATTGTTAAAAATATCTTCAAACTCGTATGCGGATCTTTGTCTTGCAAAAGTTTCGTCGAAAACACTTAACAACATCTCTAACGAAGCGGGTTTTCTTAGGAATGTTGATTTAATCAACATTATCTTGCCGTGGAAGTGGGATGTTCATGGAAGGGTCGGTGCATTCTTCAGTCGGTGCTTGGCGGCAGGAAATCCATCCGCCTAATTGCGAAGAGGTTTATCGCTGATTTTCTTCGAACATAGCCTCCAAGCAGGGTGTGATTTCATTAAAATGGCATCAAACAATGGATTTCTCATGGGTAAGTACTGCCACACTATGTTACATCTAACCATGGATGGCACATCAGAGGTATTCAACTCTGTTAAAGCTCTCTCCCGGGAAGATGCAAAGAAAAGAGATTGACAATGGAAAAGATCTTCATGCCTGCGTTCAATTTCCAGAAGCCCGAGGAACTGGTGGAAATGGTTTTCCAGGCTTATAAAAAGTCTTTAAGTACAAGGATTTGTGGTTGTCTCAAAGTACCAGACATGCAATGGATGGGAGATGAATACCTGCTAGAGACGCATGGGGATCAACTTTGTGAATCCTGCTTCTGGAAATTGGAGTGTGCCAATTTCTGGTGGGTAGTACCGTCGTTTGCTATGGATTGGCCACGTTGATTGCATCAGTAGTTGTACTTTCATGTTTGTTGAAAGACTTCTGTTAAGTAGATTTGTTTTTATTATGAAGTAGACTTATATGAAAGTTATGTTGTGTTATTTATGTTGTGTTAAGTAGATTTATGTGTTATTCATTTCGAAAGCTATTAATTATAACAAATCTACCAACAATATAATATAAGTCTACCATTCGTTCCACTGTAATTGGGAACATGACAAGTCTTTACAACAAATCTACCAACAATATAATATAAGTCTACCATTCTACTTAATATAAATCTACTAAACATAAGGAAACGGACTTGTACTTAACATATACGCAATGGCTGCAAACACGAACAGCAACGCCAGCATCAAGTAGTGGTCACCTCTGGCGTTTTGCTCCGTCATCCAAACAAAGTCGCCTTGAAGCCGGAGTATCTCATCTTTCATTTCCGGAATGTCTCCGACCAAGTCATTGCATTCCATAGACCTCTCCAATGACTGGAAACGATTCTCCAAACGCATGAAACGAGGATCAATAGCTTGAGCCCTGCTAAGCTCTTGCAATTTCTCCTTATTCTGCTCAAGGCCAATCTTCAACCGTTCCAATTCCTCTGTAACAGCCTCATCCCACCATTTCCAGATATGGTCTGGATTCCCCTACATACATCAGGCCAATCTCATACATTAAGTATCACAACAGTTAACTAAAGATTAACAAATGGATATTTTTAAGAAAACTTATGTCAAATACTCAAGCTACATACCTTCTTCAACCAGAATGGACAAGTGTAGTACCTACGGCCAGGTGTTGCGGGCGTATCACCAGGCATTGATTTGAGGATCATATCCCGACCACAAAAACACTTCTCTGGAATCCCAAAGTCCCCAAAACCCGACCACT